CAAAGCAACAAAAGAAAACAAAACAACTAAAACCAATGACGAAAACAGAAGTCTGTCAATAGTTCAAGGTCTGTTTCTTGAGCTTTAGGAGTGTTTTCCGGTTGAGTCTGATGGGCTGCCATGCCCTGGCCCCAAAGTCTTATTTTGATATTCCCTCAGGAGTTCCTTGCTCTGGTCCCCTTGCTGTTGTTGCATGCCCTTAAGTGTTTTGCTTCAGTGTGGTGGGGTCAGATTGGGTGCAATTCAGAGGAAATGACTTTGACAATCTGTTTGCTGTCCTTTTTTTCCCTTTCTTTTAGTGGTTAAAGCTTAGTGAAGAAGAAAAAAAAAAAAAAAGGAATCTTTTACTTCTTGTGAAATATTTCCAGTTTGGGGTTGTTAAACCAGCTCCAAAATAGGATGAACGTGCTCCCTGACTCAAATCATACAATTAGGTCATAAACACAGTCACCGAGTCAATTCAAATAGAAGCTGGATTTCAGGCGGTGAATGCCCTACTCACCATGCTACCAGGGTTTCTATATGCTGATAGCAATGAAACCAAACCAAACCAATCTAGGGCCGTTTTAGATTCCATGGGGATGATTCTGATATGCTATATTCCATTGTAAACAGAGTAGAACTAAGTTTCTATTTTAAAGGCTGAGACCTCTGAGAATCCACTAAACCTGACTTCCAAGGCATTCAGGGAGAGTTTGAATCACCAGTCGTTTGATTAGCAGTGCAGTGCTGTAAGAACCTCTCCTAACCTTGACTCCTGTGACCCCATTTTAGAATTTTAAAAATCCTGTCCAAGTCTCTTTCATCCTGAAGTATATAACCTCCGTCTACCCCACAGTTGATTTTGCTCCTTCACAGTGTGTTATTATCCAATGTCAATATTCTCCTGTTCTCAGAACATGCCCTTTGTTCCTTACCCCATTCTAAATCTTCTTCAGGACCCCCAGCATGGTTAAAAACGTGCCAAGGCATGTCTCCAGGCTATATTAGAAAATTCCCACTCAGAGCCTTTGTTGAAAACTAAGGGTAGTGCACCACCTAGCCCAGGCCCTCAGGAGCAAGTCTCCAAGGCAGTCTACCCTGCATTTCCCAAGGAGTCAGACCTTCCCCTGCCTTATGTTGAACCCTTGCAGGAAGCAAGTGCCCCATTAACTAACCTGCAGAATCAAAAGACCAGGCTTTGTCTCCTCTATACACCCATAGTGACGATCCTCAAAACGTCCCCTTTTGGTCTTCAAAGAGGTACTGACAAGGACCCATAAGATCAACCCTTTGTAGTTTTGTCCCTTACTCCATTCCCTTCTGCCTCCCAAAGTTAAGAAAAGATGAATGCTTATCTTACCCTCTGTAAACCACTCGCTGAAAAGAATGCCGAGGCCTCAACCCCTCCCTGCTTACCCACTGAAAGTAATGTAATACCCTCCCGAGCGGCAAACCAGCTTCAGTTTTTGTCCTTCTAAACCCAGCCTGAATATCATTTTGGGCCTCGGGGTTTCTGAGAGACTTGAATCCTCCCAATGGCCCCCAGGTAGAATAAAGACGCCCAATTTGGACATAAATGGCATTATAGTGGCTATTAATTTCTCATGACACACAACACAATATATCCAAAATATGTAAGACAAGTCTTGCCTCCCTTTCCTCAAAGAAACATTTCTTCCAAAATGGTTTGGCTCCTTGGCAACGACCCATAGCGACATTATACACCACAGAACAACCCTATTGCAGGGTATGCATAGACTACCAAGTATAATGGAGGAGATACATTCAGCAAAGACAAAATAGACCATTTGTACATGCTGAAATTACATCACATATGCACAGCAAAACACTGCATCAGGAGAGAGGCCAATATTTGGGAAACAACTTTTACCATCGGACAAAGGGCTAATTATGAAAATATACAAAACTCTACATCTCAATAAGAAAATAACAAGAGACCCAATCAAGAAAAGGGGAAAAGATATAAACAGTTCACCAAAACTGAAGTACAGATGAGTAACATGAAAAAATGCTCACGATCACTAGCCTTCAGGGAGATGCAAATTAAAACACAATGAGATTACCACCTTACTCCAATGCCAGCCCAAATCAAAGAAACAGAAAACAAATAATGGAGGACATGGAGCGATTGGAACACGTATATACTGCTGATGGATTTATACACGCAGCCACTGTGGAAAACGATATAGGGTTAAGTAACCAGAAATTGAAATCCCATATGATCCAGCAATACCATTATTAGGCATCATGGATTTCATATACAGAGGGAATATATATATATATGTGTGTGTGTGTGTATGCCACCACGAACAAGTTAAAAGATAAAATTAAATCTAAAAAAAGGACTATTAGAAACTACAAAAGATTTAAAATGAGTCTATAAGGAGCTCAGAGGGTAAAGGGTTATATTTTAACCAAACAGCATCTGCAACAATTCCTTTTCCAATGCATTCTGCATGCTAGAGCCAAGCCGTTCACATTCCTGGTCTAGGGTGAGAGGAGTTTTTCTTCACTTTTGTAAAGACTGAAAGTACGTGAACATGGATCAAAAGGGACCTCAAATGTGAAATCAGATCTGTCTTGATATCAATGTGCATATACACACACAGGATGAGTCCATCAGGCTCTCCCAGGCTCTGTATTCATGATTTCCTGCAGGATGCACACTGTAGTCATACAATGAGGAAGACATTTTGTTCAACCCTCCTATCCAATTAGTGCATCACAGCTTATCTTATGGGCTTTGTAAAACATAAAATAAAACATAATTTGATACCAGAGTCACTAAATGCATACGTACTGCCACAATCACTGTTCTCATGTTTTCTCTGTTGTACACTATTGTCAATTGACTCCTTTCTGGCTACAGCCCGTCCCATGAGAACTACATTAGTTAGGATCCCACTGGGGTTTAATGACACATGAGAGAAGCCAGAGGAGGATTATACAAAGTCACTATATTGACAGGGCTTTCCTTCTGCAGGAGATCACTGGTATGTGACACGACTCCCTGGGGAGAGCTTTCCCACCTTGACTGAATTTAAAACTTTTTCATTTTTCTGTGTTTATATCAAGAAAACTTAGAAACACTGGTAAAACTCATTACAGCTACATGGTAACTGTCCTACATATATATAATCATTGATGAGACGTGAGCTCTTTGTTTTTTTATAAATTTTTTTATTACGATTTAAAGTTTTACAGAGTAAATGGGTTTTCCATTCAACAATTCATACATTGGTTGCAGTCCCCAAGATATACCAGCCCTCTTCCCACTTCCGCCCTCCCTGGTTTTTCCCCATTACTATTCATCCTTCTTTCCTGTCCCTTCATGCTTTCAAGAGTTTTATCCATTAGCAAATGCTGTCCTCTTGATTTTGTACGCTTGGTAATTTGTGGAGTGTGTACCTCTCGATTGTTACTCTTCCCCTCCAAGCCTGTATATTTTTTGGCTGAAAGCAGAGTCCGAGGAGGGAGTACAGTACCGGGAGTGAAGCTGCTAAGGGCCATTGTTGGGATTGCAAGTATCCATCAGACGAGTAAGCCTAGTCTATGATTTTAGGTTTTGTTCCACTCTGTGCTCCCAATCTACTCAGGGCCTCTGTAGTGATCCTTTTCAAGTAATTAGCAGTGGTAGCTGGGCACCATCTGGTTCTTCCGGTCTCAGGGTTGTGGAGGCTGAGGTTCGCTGTGGTCCATTCATCTTCTGGACTAATTGTTCCCAAACGTCTTCTATTTTCTTCATTCTTATTTTATGTTGCTTTTGTGCTGTCTCTGGGGGGTAACAAAGAGCATGCAGGTGGGGTATCTCTCCTGGCATCTGGGTGGGCACTCTACTGCTTGGTGTAGCTGTGATCCAGAAACAGAAGATCCAGCTCTCTTTTGGGCACTGAAAGCTGGAAGAGCAATGAAGTGCCATGTGCCTTGGGAAGGTCTGGATGCCCCCTCTCCCTCTCCCCACAATGGTGTGCCATGTCAGTAGAGGGATAGCAATTCAGAGTATGGGTAGCCACATTCTAAGTCACAATCGTTTGGTCCCACACACAGCCCTGGCCAAACCCTAGTGGCTCTTCCTGTGTTTTGAAAGCTTTGTTACACTTACACCATTGAAAGGTTTTCTCATTAAGAATTTTCTCGTGTTGAATGATACTTGACTTCCAGATATGATTGTCCACATTTATGTCATGCAAAGGGTGTCTTTGCTATGTGAAATGTCTGATGTGCTGTAAGGGATCGCTCTCGGCTGAAAGCTTTACCACACTCACCACATACATAAGGTTCTTCTCCAGTATGAATTTGTTGATGAGCAGTGAGACCATCCCTGATAAAGGCTTTATCACACTCAGCACACACATAGGGTTTCTCTCTAGTATGAGTTCGCTGATGAACAGTGAGATCATCCTTCCTGATTAAGGCTTTTCCACAGTCACCGCATACATAGGGTTTCTCTCCAGTATGAGTTCGCAGATGAAAAGCGAGGTGGTTCTTCCTGATAAAGGCTTTTCCACAGTCACCGCATACATAGGGTTTATTCCCAGTATGAATGTGCTGATGAGCAGTGAGGTTACTCTTCCTGATAAAGGCTTTTCCACATTCACCACATACATAGGGTTTCTCTCCAGTATGCGTTCGCTTATGAACAGTGAGGTCAGTCTTCGAGATAAAGCCTTTTTCACATTCACCACATACATGGGGTTTCTTTCCTGTGTGGAATGTCTGATGTGCTTTAAGGGATCGCTCTCGGCTGAAAGCTTTACCACACTCACCGCATACATAAGGTTTTTCTCCAGTATGAATTCGCTGATGAGCAGTGAGTTGACTCTTTGTGATAAAGGCTTTTCCACATTCACCACAGACATGGGGTTTGTCCCCAGTATGAGTTCGCTGATGAGTAGTAAGAACATTCTTCCAGCTAAAGGCTTTCCCACATTCACCACATACATAGGGTTTCATTCCTGTGTGAAATGTCTGATGTGCTATAAGGGATCTTTTACAGCTTAAGGCTTTACCACACTCACCGCATACATAACGTTTCTCTCCAGTATGACTTTGCTGATGAGCAGTGAGAACATCCTTCCTGATAAAAGCTTTTCCACATTGACCGCATACGTGGGGTTTCTCTCCAGTGTGAGTTCGCCGATGAACAGTGAGAGTATACTTCCAGGTAAAGGCTTTTCCACAGTCACCACATACATGGGGTTTCTTTCCAGTATGAGTGTGCTGATGAACAGTGAGAGCATTCTTCCAGGTAAAGGCTTTTCCACATTCACCACATACATGGGGTTTCTCACCAGTATGAGTTCTCTGATGAACAGTGAGAGCATCCTTCGTGATACAGGCTTTACCACATTCACCACATACATAGGGTTTCTCGCCGGTATGAGTTCGCTGATGAACAGTGAGAACATTCTTCATGGTAAAGGCTTTTCCACATTTACCACATACATGGGGTTTCTCCCCAGTATGAATGCGCTGATGATCAGTGAGGTTCTTCTTCCTGCTAAAGCCTTTTCCACATTCACCACATACATGGGGTTTCTTTCCTGTGTGAAATGTCTGATGTGCTGTAAGGCATTGCTTTCTTCTAAAAGCTTTACCACACTCACCGCATACATATGGTTTTTCTCCAGTATGAATTCGCAGATGAGCACGGAGATTACTGTTCCTGTTGAAGCCTTTCCCACATTCACTGCATACAAAGAGCTTCTCTGGCACGTGAGTTTTCTGATGTTCCTGGAGGTATGGTTTACTGTGATAAGCTTTGCCACATTCCAAGCATGTATATGGGTTTTGTCCTTTATGAGCTGTTCGACAATGTGCAGTGAGTCTGAATACTTTGTCAAATTCCTGCCCATACTGACTGCATTCATAGGTCTTATCTAGTATATCCTCACAAAGGAACCACTCCTTGATGAAGTTTTTCCCACATTTAGTACCTATGCCTGGTTTATCAAATTTGTCAGATTCCTGATGCTGTGACTTCATGCTACTGCATTTTTCAAACACACAGAATTTTACTTCAGTACAAATTTGGTCTTCTTCAACATTCAAAAAAGTTTTTTCATCTCCATTGAGCATAACTGACTTCTTTATTTCGCTGCTACTCTTTTGATTTAATACTGGAATGATTAAATCTGGTTTTACTATTTTTTCATGTATGCCAGATATCTCATAATTTTCCTTTAGAGGAAAATTGTTTTTGTGCTGATGAAGAATATTTTCCAATGTATTAAATTTATAGAACTGTTCGGTTCTGTCATTGTTCCTTTCATGTTGCGACTGAACGAGCAAATGATCATCAACTTTTGGGATCTCTATAAAAGAACAGAACATTGAAACTCTTCATTATTTTCATTTACAATGGAACCCTGAAAACACCCCTTGATTGATACAAGGTAGCTCTTTAGTGACAGCACTCTTATATGAATGCAAATAAAACACGATGCTTAATGTTTCTTGGACATTGGTAGAAATAAATTTGTGTAAACAATACAAATGGTAAAAGCAATGACTGTAGAAACCAGATTGAATGTGAAAATAATGAATGAACATTGATTTGGTAGTTGCTTAAATAGGACCATGAAAATATACTAAGAATCTAAATACATGCAAGACACTGAGGCCCATAGACCACAGGGGTAGTAGGACCTGCGAATTTCAATTGCTAGAGGTCAGATGTATTCCTTCTATCAATCTTTACTGAAAGACAACTCAGTACTAGACAACATTGGGAATGTGAATAATGCAGAATGTTCAATTTTTACAGATAATTATGAAAGGCGTTATGGTACACAAATGTATTCCTTAAGTTTATGGAGCTTATATTCTAGCTTACACTACTTATCTTCCAGTATTGTCTTGTGGTGGCTCGCATGTTGCCGTGATTATGGAAGCAATGCCACGCAGTATTTCAAATACAAGCACAATAGCCCATGGTGCACAGGGATTAGTGGAATTTGCAGAAATTCGGACTGGCAGGAGAACCTGGTGATCTACTTTTGGAACAAGAGCCCCTCAGGTTTTAACTTCTCTAACTACAGACAACAGTGATGATGTGAATGCAGCAAAGCTTTGGGGACCTTCAGTGGATGACATGGCATGACTGAAAATGAGAAAAAAATAGCTGCAAACATCCACTAATAATAGGAAGATGGAATGTATGAAGTACTATCAAGAAAAATTTGGAAACAGTATCAGTAGTTGGAAAATGTAGCCTAGTGATAGAAATGATACACAAGATTAACGATAAAAGTTTGAGACTAATGATGAATTCATAGCAAATTCCTTAATCAACAACAGAAATGGATACTATACATATGGACTTTTGTGAATGGAATACACAAAAAATCAAATCAACCACATATGTGTTAAGAAATGATGGAGAAGCTCATCAGTCAAAACAAGGTCAAGGCTCAACTGTGGAACAGATCATCAATTCCTCAAATCCAAGTAGAAACTGAAGAAAAGTTAAAAGAAGTCCACAGTAGCCAAAGTACCTTGTTCACTTGAGCTTAGAGACTATCTAAAGAATAAACGAGAAATAAAGGACTGGTGACTGAAGACTAATGACTGAAGACCAGATGAGTTATGGGATGACACCAAGGACATTATACATATGGGAACCACAAGGCTATCAAAAGTTAGAAAACAAGAGAGAGCGCAATATTGAATATGCCAGGCATTGTTGGAGTAACAACCAAAAAAAAATCAGTGTTGGAAAATACAGCCAAAAAGTTCTATAGAAGAAGCAAAGGTCGTCTTTCCCATGTTGGGCATGTTAGGAAAAGGCAGGTTTAAGGACAGCATACTGCATAGTAAACTGCATTATACAAGTTCAATGAAAGACCCAAGAATGTAAGGTGTAAAAAATGTTCTTTCCACATACAAAATGATCAGAGGAGCAGACAACCTTAAAGAAAATCCTACAAGTGATAACAATTTTCTTTCTGGGAAGATGGTCTTAGACACTGAAAAAAGGAGAAGTCATAAATATGTTTTGCCAAAAGAAGTAAAATATAGAGAAATATGTCTGTTAAGTAATTCCAACGGAGATGGAAATTTGACCATCTCTATTAGAAACAGAAAGAACGTGTATCACCAGAATGAAGAAAACTTTAATGGGTTAGGAGAACAAATGAGAAAACGGAAACCAAAACTTAAGAGAAACTCCAAGGGGGAAGCTAAGGAAACACAAAGGAGTACTTTTATGGTGGGAGCTCATGATCCAAGATGGTGCTGCATACTAGGGAGACCGGCAAGATGGGCTTTTATAGGACGGTAGAAGGACATAAAAGGGAAGGGTTTGAGAATCTTAACGAAAGAAAATTATGGAAACAAATGTGCAATAGTGTAAATCAAATAAATGGATATCTAATCTCAGAAGAATTAGAGGAGTATTTCTCAAAACTTTAGGAAAAGGTCTCACATTCAAAGAAGCACACACCTTTATGTACTACTATCTGACACCGACCGTGGATGTGAGGCCTGCTCCCTGTTGAGTCAACACCCCCAGCCATTTGCCCTTAAGGTTTTTCGCTCACACACCTGAAAAACTCCACTATGGCTTTTTTCTAGTACAGACCAGTTCTTCTCCTTGTTCTAACTGGGAGAAAGCTTCTGGGATGACAATTAGATAACCAGTTGATGAGAAATTACAGAACTTTGTCTACCAAAATTAAGCTTGTCTGTGAAGTCTGCAAAATGTTTTATTTCAGGGAAAAGAATGCTCAAAGCAACAAAGGGTGTTCTCTCAAGGGTAGAAGACTGTACCACTAACCTGGGACCAGAGAATGCCGTGAGAACCATCCTCTTTGAAAAAACCAAAGAAAATGCAAAGATTTTAATGCATAAGGTAGGAATTCTCCTCACCAATGGAAACCAGGTTGCAATAGTTCTCCAACATCACATCCTGATATAGCATCTTCTGAGCAGGGTTCAGGAGCTGCCATTCCTCCCAGGTGAACTTTACAGCCACATCATTGAATGT